CAACTGCTGCCTCCCAGGGTGTACATTAGCTGGAAACTAGACAGGGGAGTGGAGCCAGGACTGGAACCTAGGCACTCTGAAATGGGAAGTTGTGGGGGGGGGGTCCCAAACACCTGCCCCGAATGTATTTTGAGGAACACCCATTCCCATATGCCCAGCACAGTTCCAGAGACACTACCTGTTGATGGACTAAATCTCTACGATCCCATGCGGTCTTCACAAATACAAGCTAATAGCTGCACAACGCCTGGTGGTTATCCATTCCTCACTGGCTGTAAAAAGACAATCGTCTCAGACACGATTGAGAGAACTGACCTTTCATGATTGGCAGAAAACAAGGTTTGAAGTCCCTGGATCAGCAATACCAGAAACCCAAGCACACCAATCATGTCACGATCCAGGCACCTGGTGAGCCTAATTCTGCTGTCGAAAGGAAAAAATATATAGATTACAGGTTTTCAAATCAATGCAGGAGGTTTGTGAGCAGCACCGCTTTCAAAAATAGAACAGAACAATGCGGGCACTGCAGGTGAGGATTGTTTTTTGTAACTTTTGTTCCCATTTTACATCCGTGGAGAGCAGAAACACTTAAGTGGCTGTAGCACGAAACACATGGGGGTACTTCGTTGGGGGAAAAGGGAATAAAAAGATAAGTTTGTTCAGGCACACAGCACGGGGTGGGGGGCATACAAAATGATCAGCTTAAGCATTAGCCTACTATAGATTTATCGGATTTCTGGTCCTGCCTGTGGTTGCCTTGGCAGGTCCGGACAGAATGATCTCGTGGGTCTTACCTTGCCCGCGGGCTGGACATTCCAGACTAATTTTTGGTTGAAGGAAAAGTTGCCAATATGGCCCAGAGAGCCTCTGCAGCCCCTCTCACCCCATCTCCTCTACCGTTAGCGAATCTTCCATCACCAAAGAGCATTTGTCACAGCGAGGGAACCACCCCCGGCACATTGCTGTTAACCAAGACCCAGCCTCTGCTTGGATCTCACCGGTTTCCCTTCGTTCTGCTCTGAATCCAGTCCAGGACGCCACCTGGCACTCAGCTGTCGCTTCTCCCTCGCCTCCCCCAGACTGGGGCGCTTTTTCAGTCTCTCCTCGTACCCGATGACCTTGGCAGCGCTGAGCAGTCCTGCTCACCTGTTTTGCGGACTAGCTCTTGGTTTGGGCTTGCCTGATGTGTTTCTCCTTACTAGACTGGGGCTAGGGGTTTGGGCAAAAACATGTCACAGGTGAGAACCACCCTTGCTGCATGCTCTTGGCAGGAGGTAACGACACACCTGCTGAGGCTAGCCTTGGTCACGTGGGTAAGGCAGTGCGCACCAGGCTTCTCTCTGTAGAGTTACTATTTTTCCCTTCCCTAGGCTCTCCTCCTTGGAAGCCGGTCACTAAGACCCTAAGACCAACCTACCCTCAGGTGGGGGCAAGGGTGAGTGAGTGACTGTGTTGGTACTGGTGTCGAACTGGAGGGCGGAATAGCTACACATACTATTTGGGCTTTTTCTGTAAGAAAGAGATATCTCTTCTCCACTTACTCGTTTACTCAATAATTTACATTAGTGTGAACCCAGATATGTTTATTTGATGCTTGGGGTTATTTATTTTGTTGCTCAAATTGTTCCAGCTTTGGCCATTAGAAGCTCTTTCCACTGTAATACCTTCCACCTGCCCCATCCTGGTTGTGTGTGTGTCTGTGTGTGTCTCTGTGTGTGTGTGCCTGCATGTGTGTGTCTGTGTGTGTCTCTCTGTGTGTGTGTCTGTATGTGTGTGTCTGTGTGTCTCTGTGTGTGTCTGTATGTGTGTGTGTGTCTGTGTGTGTGTGTGTGTCTGTGTGTCTGTGTCTCTGTGTGTGTGTGTTTTACCACTTTCTTTTTTCTGGTTCTACATTCCGGACTCATCTTGTGTTTTCCCTGTCCCAGACTGGAATCAGCCGTTTTCCCAGGAGCCAGCTTCTGAGGGGCAAGACACCAGCCACAGGCCACGAGCCTGTAAGTCACAGAGGGTACACGGCGCTTCTGCGCTCAGGATGCTGGGAGAAGGAGCGCTGAGAAAGCAGAGGACGGGCACACGTGCAGCTGCTGCCCATGTCCTCGGTCTCCCAGCCTTGGGTATTCAAGGACACTTCAACAACTTTGTGAGAAAACAGAATTAGGGGCTGGCGCTGTAGGTTGGGCCTATGCCGGCACCCCATATGGGCACTGGTTGGAGTCCTGGCTGCTCCACTTCTGATCCAGCTCCCTGCTAATGCAACCTTGGAAAGCAGTGGAAGATGGCCCAAGCGCCTGGGCCGCTGCACCCACGTGGCAGACCTGGAAGAAGCTCTTGTCTTCAGCCTGGCCCAGGCCTGGCCCTTGCAGCCATCTGGGGAGTGAACAAGCAGATGGAAGGTTTCTCTGTTTTTCCCTCTCTGTAACTCTGCCTCTCAAATAAATAAAAAAATAAATTTTTTAAAGAAAGAATAGAATTAAATTGAAACCCATGCCTAGTTTGGTTTTTTTTGTTTGTTTGTTTGTTTGTTTTTTTCTCATAGTACGCATTTTCCCATGAACTTCTGGAAGACCCTGCTTAGCTCTCTGGTGAGTTACCCACAGGCACCTGCCCTGCCCTGGCTGGAACACAGAACCACCTCATCCAACCTTCCATACCTGGCGGTCAGACTCTGGATGCCCCTGCTGCCCCAGCGAGTGGCAAGCATCCCAGGTCCCCAGGCTTGTGTGGGTCAAAGTCGGGCCTCCAGTCTCCCGGGGGCACCACCGCCCTGCCCACTCGGAGATCTACACAAACACCACCTAGTATTTCCCCAGTGCCTCCTCTCTCGCAGGCCAGCTTGGTGGGTGTCCGTGCCCCGGGGCAAGAGTCCCTCAGCCCCTCTGGTCCTCCTCTGAGCCGCACCTCTTCCTCTCCAGGGCCAACTCCTCCACTCGGGCCCCTCCTCACGGCCCTCTCTCAGGACCATCGCGGCCGTCTCTCCAGGAATCTTGAAAGGTCATCTCCCTTGACAACTAGGGCTGTGGACACCACAGGGATGGCAGACTGTCCATGGGAAAAGGGTCGCTGGCCTTGGCTTCCATGGAGGGACCCTGGAAGGGGAATGAAACGTCCCTGGCCCGAGGCCGTGCCAGAGTCTGGCTGTGCCGAGAGGCGGGACCAACCTGGGCCAGAGCTGGGGTGGAAGGATGGGCGAAGAGGTCATGCCCCCCCGGGGGGGTGGGGGAGACAGCCAGAGGTGGGGGGAGGGGAGAAGGGACCTCTGTGTCCAGATCTTGTCTGGTCCATCCTTGCCCCTCTTCAGCTGGGGGGAGGGGAGAGAGCCCGTGTCCCCAGGGACAGGCACGTTCATCACAGGGCATCGGACTTCACACGGCTCCCACTCCCGGCATCGCCCGCCGGCCGTGCTCAGCAGCCGAGATGATTCACCACCACCCCTGTCCCGCCTCCTCACCTCTCTCGCCACGGCTGAGCGGGCACAGCCTCTCCTTCATGGGAACAGAAGGCAAAGCCGGCTCAAGGGCTTGGGGGCACGAGCTGGCCCCCTTGGAGCCCAGACGGTACCCTCGGTTCTCCTCCACCAGCACAGCTGGCCCCTCTCCTTGACAGCTTTCCCTGGAGGACCCCAGCACAGGCCTGGCCTTGGGGACTCAGCCATGATACATAATTTCCTCTCGGAGCCTGCCTGTGAGTTCCGCCCCGGCTCTAAACAGACTCACCTGTGCATACAGACCTTGGCTAGTTCTGTACAGCTACGGCCCAGGGCCATTCTTTCTGGCAGGTGCAGGAAGTGGGGGTGCAACCATGAGCCAAAGACAGCTTCCTAAGAGCTTGCCTATGTGTCTGGGAGCCAGCACCAAGGCTGTGGTTCTAGACACACACCATATCACAGTCTTGAGAAATCCAGATGCCACAGCCGCATCCACAGCCTTAGGTAAGGCTTCCAGAGGAAGTGAGAGTTTGAGATCTGGAGGAGGAGTGGAAAGTAACTAACCAAGGGAGCTGGGGAGACAGACAGGAGGGAAAATCTCCCCCCAGCAACACAGCAGCCGGCACAACAGGGAAAGGAGGACCAGCCTGGCGGCTGGAGCGCACCCAGCAGAAGGAGGGTGGTGGAGGAGACAGCTGGAGAGGGCTGGGCCCCATGGGGCAGGACCTGGTGGGCATGTTCTGTGTCTTTGTTGGCATCTCAATGGCAGTGGGAGGTACGCCACTGCCGGGTGACGAGATTGCGTTTGTATTGACCAGTGTGGAGCACAGATGACAAGGGGCTGGTTCCACAGTGAGGTCACTGGAGGTCACCAGGGACCAGTCATGGTCCCAAAAGAGGCGCAGGGCTGGCTTGTACCATCCTGTGATCCTGTGGCTGGGGGAGGTCAGGTTAGCCCCAGGGCCAGTCTGTGTGCTAGGGAGTCGGGACCTGCTACATGCAAAGGGCATGAAGACACCGCTGCCCCCAATCCCAGCTTCCCTTGCTCTAAGAATAGAGCCCCCCTTTCCCCCAATTTGGGCGCTCCCATCTCATCTTTACCCAGCCCAGCTGCAGGGGGCCGGTACCCTAAGCCACCTAGCCCGGGAACCGGTAGGACGACAAGGCCATGCCCAGCTCGGATTCTGCTCTCACTGGAATTGGTGACCTTGGGCAAACCTACAAACCCAAGGCAGCCCCCAGACCCCCACCCCAACCCCCCGCCAGCGGCCAGCGGCACTTCCAGCCTCGCCGGCGGGACGCTCGCTGCTCTGCGCCACGCCCCGGGGTGGGCACGGCGCGGGGCGCGCCCACGCGGGCCGGGCCGGGAGGCGCAGGGGCTGCCCGCGCGGAGGGCGGCGACTGGCGGCCGCCCCGGCCCCCACGCACGCCGCTGCGCCCCTTCGCCTCTCCGCCGGCCCCGGGCCCGGGGGTTACGTAAGGGGCCGGGCGGGGAGCCGGGCAGGGAGGGCGGCGCCCGAGCGCGGCCGCCCAGCCCCCGGCGGCCCAGCCCCCTCCCGCCCGCCTGCCCGCCCGCGCCTGGCGGCGGCGGCGGCGGCGGCGGCAGCAGCAGCGGCGGCGGTGGCGGCAGCAGAGCCGCGCAGCCCCGCGGAATGGAGCGGCGCCGGGGCTGAGCCGGGCGCGCACGGGCCCCGCATGTGCCGCACGGGCAGCGGCTGCCAAGCGGGCGGACAGCGAGCGCCAGAGGCCCCGTCGGAGCGGCCGCCGGAGCAGCACCGGAGATGGGGTGAGTGAGTCTGCACCCCGCGCGCTCCCCGGGACGGGCTGCGGGGCCGAGGCTCGCGCCGCTGGGATCAGGAGCTAGCTCCCCGGGAGCTAGCGCGCGGCCGGCGCGGAGAGCCTGGAGCCGCCCGCTCCGGCTTGCAGACCCCGGGCAGGGGGCGGCCTGGGCGCGGATCCTGCGCTGCGAGCCTTGGGCCCCGGGCCCTCGCTCCCCCACCCCGCGGGGCGCAGGGACACCCTGCGGGGACTGGTGCCCGGTGCCCGGCGGCCTCAGAGCCTCGGCCGTTCCACGCTTCCCCGAGTCCCCGCGCCATCAACTCCCGGGCCTGTGTCGGGGAGTGCGGGAGGCAGTCGGTCGTTCTGCACGCTTGGGCTTCTTAGCAGCAAGATGGAAATCGAAGTTTTCCTGGAAAGGGAGCACAGCGGATCATCTCCGCGCTCCGGCGCGGACGGAGGGCTGGTGGGGTCCCGTGAGCCCCGGGGAGGCTTCGGGCTCTGCATCAGCTGGGCAGATGCTCAGAGGGAAACTGAGGCACCCCCATGGAAGTGAGTAACGCCGCCGCGTCCAGAAAGTGCCCGGGAAGCCGAGAGAGATGTCGGGGAGCCCGAGCAACTCGTGTGAGCGCGCGGCGCCGCCGTGCCTGCCACGCTCGGGGAGTGGCTGCTGTGCCCACTTTGCCCACGAGGAAACTGAGGCCCGGAGGAGTTGGGCGACTTTCCCCCGGGGCTGAGCAGATTGTGCAAGACGGGCGACCCTTGGTGCGTCAGAAGGAGAAGCAGGGCCACCCGCCCACCCCCGGACTGTGCGCCGGCCTGGACCTGCGCGTCCCCTGCTGCCGAACCCAGCGCTTTGCACACAGTTGCTGGCAGGACCTCCAGACTTGTGCGCGGTGGCCTGAGCTGGCCCCGCGGCATCACCCAAGTGTGAGTGAATGCCTTTGGGTCAACACGAGCTGGACATGGCCCTGGACGGGGTGGGGCCAGGGAGGTAGGTAGCCAGCGCAGAGGGCGCCTGCTGGGCACTGGTGCCAGTCAGGGGGTTGCACACCGGCCATACGGGCAGGCACCCCAGCTGGCAGGCAGGTGTTTTGTCTTTTTTTTTTTTTTTTTTAATAACATTCCCCAAGATCCCTGAAGAAGTAAGAAAGGGCCCAGCTTGGAGCAGTGGGGACCTTTGAAGCCCCCGGATTTCATACTTTTAAAAGAACAGTGGGAGGAGAAAAACTCGGCCCTGGTAGTCTCAAGACAGAGAGAGAAGGTATATGGTGATTTTAACTCCCTGCCCCTGCCCCCACCCCCAACCAACGCAAAAAGTCACCTGGCCACTGTTACGTGATCAAAAACAAATATTGAAGCTCGTGGCTGAGATCACCCAGCTCGGGATGAAAATGTTTACTCATAAGGGCTTCAGGAAGATGTCAGAAAATCATTTTTGTCAGTGGAGGCACAGGGAGGAGCAGCTTGGGGGTTTTGTTTAAACACAGAAGTATCTTTGCTGTAATGTAACATCACCCTGTACACGTGTATTACTCACTCCTTGTCAGCCAGGGCTGGTGTGTAGCTCCCGCCCACCCCTGCTGTATTTTTTAACACATCCACTTCTCGAACGCAAGTGAATGAACTGTACCCGGAGAGGGAGCTGAGGGGCAGGAGCAGCCTGGAGACGGAGGAGGGGGGACCGAGCCGTTCCAACCGAAAATAGAACCAGTGGCGTGGTTCTGGAGAGTGGTGGAGGGTGGAGGGGGAACAGCCAAGAAGGCAGCCAGCGGGAACCCTTGGCGTGAACCCACAGCGTGTCCACTGCAGAGGGAGGCAACACCCAGACCACCTGCGTGGCGCTCTCCTCGCCTAAAATCCCTTCACTGCCCTTTAGGTGTTACCTGTTTAAGGGTGTGGCTCCCACGGACTTCCTGCTCTTGCTGTTTCCTGCTGATTCTCTTCACATTCCCCTCCTCACCCTTGCACCCTCTCCCCACCCCATATACCCCTCTTCCCATCCCTGCACCCTCTCTCCACCCCATGGACCTCTCTCCTCACCCTGCACCCTCTCCCCACCACCATGCACCCCTCTCCCCACCCCCATCACCCCTCTCCCCACCCCTGCACCCTCTCTCCACCCCATGGACCTCTCTCCTCACCCCTGCACCCTCTCCCCACCCCCATGCACCCCTCTCCCCACCCTGCACCCCTCTTCCCACCCCCATGCACCCCTCTCCCCACCCTGCACCCTCTCTCCACCCCATGCACCTCTCTCCTCACCCCGCACCCTCTCCCCACCCCCATGACACCCCTCTCCCACCCCCCATGCACCCTCTCCCACCCCATATACCCCTCTCCCTACCCCATGCACCCTCTCCCCACCCTGCACCCTCTCTCACACCCCTGCACCCCTATCTCCACCCTATGCACCCCTATCTCCACTCCATGAACCCTCTCCCCACCCCTGCACCCTCTTCCACCCCACCCTCTCACTCACCCCTGCACCCTCTCCCCACCCCCTGCACCCCTCTTCCCCACCCATGCACCCCTCTCCCCACCCCATGCACCCCTCTCCTCACCCCTGCACCCTCTCTCCCCACCCCTGCACCCCTCTCCCCACCCCATGCACCCCTCTCCCTACCCCATGCACCTCTCTCCTCACCCCTGCACCCCTCTCCCCACCCACACCCCTCTCTCCACCCCCTGCACCCTATCTCTACCCCATGTACCCCTCTCCCCACCCCTGCACCCCTGCACCCTCTCCCCACCCCCTGCACCCCTCTCCCCATCCCCTGCACCCCTCTCCCCACCCTGATGCATGCCTCTTGCTTCTCTTGCCGTGGACAAGAGCCGCCGACCCAGGGACCCCCCTCCTGCCTCCAGTCTAGTGTGTGGCCATCACCTTCTCTCCACCGTGTGGCTGGACTGGCCAGCCCTGCCCCCTGTCCTCCCAGCATCCGCTCCTCCTGGGGCAGCCCCCTCGCACCTTCGCAGAGAGAGTGCGCCTCTCTGTCCCAGCCTCCATGCTCTGCAGGGACTTCTGCATCTGTGTGCTCTACCGTGGCAGCCACCAGCTACCCGTAGCTGCTGGCACCTGCAGTGTGGCCAGGGACCTGAGTGATTAATTTGGATTTTGATAGCCACCCAAAGTTGGTGGCTGCCACATTAGCAAGCACAGCTTTAACTTCTCACATCTCATATTTGTTTATTTATTTATTTGTTTGTTTGTTTATTTAAAAAGCAGAGTGACAGAGAGAGAGAGAGAGATCTTCCATCTGCTTGTTCACTCCCCTAATGGCCACAGTGTCCCAGCTGAAGCCAGGAGCTAGGAGCTCATCCAGGTCTCCTATGTGGGTGGCAGGGGCCCAAGCACTTGAGCCCTCTTCTGCTGCCTTCCCAGGCGCATTAGCAGGGAGCTGGATCAGAAGTGAAGCAGCCGGGACTCGAACCCGTGCTCTGGTGTAGGATTGCCACCCAGCTGGCCCCAGCTCTCCCTCCAGCCTCCATCCTTCTGCTTCTGGTCTTCGTCTCCACCAACTTTCCCCTGGAAACTTGGCGAAAGCTGTGTCCAAGCCCGGTGTCTCCCTTTGCTTGCATATCCTCCCACCTGTTTGTCCTACCTCTGCCGTCTGGCTGTACCCCCTCCTTCTCCCCGAGACCGCCAGGTGACACATCGCCCTGTCTGCCCTCACCTGTCTGCGCCGCTCAGTGGAGGTCCTCACATCTCCCCTCTCAGCTCCTCGGGCCCCCACGCTCTTGGCTTTCCTCTTACTTTCCAGATGGTTCCATGCTGGGTACCCCTTGGCTATTTAGCTCCAAATGGTGGGGTATTTAAGGCCCCGTCCTGGTTTGCTTTCTCTGCCAGTTGTGTCCTTCTTGGGCATGGCACGCCAGCGCCAGCCCCTTCCTCCACCTCTTGCCTTTAGAACCACCTATGGAAGCAAGGTGTTTGAAGGAGCCCAGCGCAGGGAAGCGGTCAATATTTAAGGAAACGCCTCTTACCCTGATTTGATCATCACAGGTTGTGAACACGTGTGGAATGACCACACATGCACCCCATAAATATGTACACTTATATGTCAACTTAAACATTAAATACTACCTCTGCTGATGGCAACCTCATTTTTATTTCCAGCACAGACCTTTCTCAGGGCTTCTGGCCCTTGTCCAAACAAGGAGCTCTTTTAAAAAAAGATTTATTTGAAAGGCAGAGCAACAGAGAGGGAGAAACGCACAGAGAGGTCTTGCACCTAGCGGTTCACTCTCCCAGCAAGGGCTGGGCCAGCGCAAAGCCAGGAGCCGGGAGCTCCGTCCGTGTCTGCCACGTGCATGGCAGGAACCCAAGTCCTTGAACCATCAGCCATCACCTCCCAGGTGCGTTAGCAGGAAGCTGGATTGGAAGCAGAGGCCGGGCTTGATCCCAGGCGCTGTGATGCGGGGCGTGGGTGTCCCAGGTGATGGCTCAACCCCCTGTGCTGCTACGCCGGCCCCCACGCGTGGGCTCTTGGCATTTCTTAGTTCTCCCCTTCCCTCCTCTTGCCTGGCCCCAGTCAGCGACCCCACCGCCCACTCCTGTGATTCCTCTTCCTCCCACCCCCACATGGAGGCTGTTGGTTTGTCCCGAGGGCTCTACTTCTGGGACATAGCCGGGGTGCACACACCTCCCTGCCTGATCCTAGCTCCCGCTCTGGTCCTGGCCACCATCTTCCCGGCAGCCTCCCTGCTTACTCTCTGGATCCGTTCTCCGTCCCGTCTCCGCACAGGCATGGAGTGACTGGTTTTGACAATCACCAGTCGGATTGTCTCCCTCTCCTTAGCCCCTCTTCAGTGGGGGAGATGCTGGCCCCTGCCTGTGCCCCTCCCTGTTCTACCAACACACCCTCCTCCTCCTCCTCGCCTTTCCTTTCACTGCCTGGCTGGTGTCCTTGAACTTGCCCTCTGCCTGACCTTGGCCCTACGAATACCTTCCTCCTTCTCTCCCTCCAGATGTCGGCATCAGGGTCACCTGCTCAGGTGTTTTCGTGG